GCCCTCCCTCAGGCAGCCCCAGCTGCCCTGCTCTAAGCGACGCCCCGGAGTGCAGCGGGCGAGGCTGCTGCTCTACCTGCACAGCCGGGTCGGCCTCCTTCCGCAGGAGCCGGGTGGTCGGTGTCCTGCGACACCCTGGCGGGGAAGGGCAGCGTTGTGGGTCGGGGGAAAGGGATGCTGAGTTTGTAAATGGTCTCTTTTTTCATACCGTGGGCGCACATATCAGCTGTTTAAAACATCCAGTCGCTATTGAAGGGGCTAGAGGATACAGAATTCCTCTCCCACCTCCACTCGGTTCACAGGTGTGCACACGTCGTCTCTCTTAATAAAAACGGGAAGTTCCTCTTCAGTGTTGTGTGACTTGCCTGTCTCACTGAAAGTGAAGCGTGTGTCCTCGGGGGGCTCACCAGGTGGGAGGAGAGGGGTTCTCTAGGAGGCGCCTCTCCTGGCCTCCCCCTGTGCTCAGCCAGGGCAGCGAGGTGCCGGTTCTCGGCCTGGCCCAGGACCTCCCTCTCTTCTGGTGACTGTCCCTTCCTGCCCCAGGCTCAGCTTCTACCCCAGCCTCACCCCGCCTCACACCGCCCCTGCCCCAGACCCAGACCGGTTCTGCCCGAGGCGGAGGGAGAGCCGGCAGGAGACTGGCCGACAACCTGATTCTCAGGACTTTACTTAATCCTTAGTGTTTCTTTGTCTGTTTGCTTAAAGTTGCTTCTGCCAAGGCACCCAGAGAAGAGGGTCAGAGTCTCCACACAAAGCAGGCAAGGAGATGCCAGTGAAACCCCAAAGGTTGCCGTGGCTCCAGCTCACCTGAGGGTGGACCCAGTCCTGGCTGACCCCTCCCTGCCCGGACACCTCCCTGGCCCCTGCTCCTTCAGGCTGCACAGGTGTTTCCCACCCCGGGGATTGGCCACCCCCCGCCAGGGACAGACACCTCCAGGGTGCCCGCGGTGCTGGTGGGTGACTGCCACGTTCTCCACCGAGAGCTGGCACGTCCTCACCCCCCCCCACCTCCGGCTCCCCAGCCCCGCCCTGGGCTCCAGGCACACGCTCTAACTCAGAGAGGAGTTTAAATCTCCAGCCGAGTGTCGAGTGTCGTGTGTCGTGTCGGGCGCTTTTCCCTGAATGGTGAACAAACCTTAATAGTTGACTCCCATCGAGCACTTCAGAGCTCACACTGCTCTGGAGGAGGAGATGAGATTTTATGATCACTTCACGAGGACGCCTGCAGCCTTTCCTTGCCCAACAGATCCTGGGAGGATCTTCTTTATAGTGAAGGGGTCACATTTTAAAACACATCTTGGAAACTCAGGTGCCCAGCCCTCCACGTCCCGGCCCAGCAGCTCTGGGAGGATGTTTCCAAGGGCATTAGTTCCAGGGCGCCCTGTAGATCCAGGGTGTGGCAGCCAGGCCCCAGGGAGGCTCTGGGCAGGGCCTTGGGGCCCTTTGATGGGGAAAAAGCCTTGGACTCTCCGAGGTCCCGGTGTCTCCCCCGACTGGCGTGGGTGCAGGGCTCACAGGAAGAGAAGCCGCTGGGTCTGGCCCTGCACTGGCTGTGCACCCCTAGGAGGCGCTTCCTGTCTGCCCCCATGCAGAGGGTGGGGCGGCTCCTCCCGGCGAGGGTGGCACAGGTCTGGCCCTGTTCAATCCCGGCAAGGTCCCCAGGACTCCAGCTGGTCCGAGGGGCCCTGCTTCCTGGAGGCCTTCCTGGGGGCAGCAGCACTTCCACTACCTCTGTGCCCTGGGCCAAGGCCGCCTCTCATGGAGGCGAGCAGATCGACAGGCTGTCTGTGCCCCGGGTGACGGGACATGCGGGCCACGCCCCCCGGAGGGCACGGCCCTGGTGCAGTGGGTCCAGGTGGGTTGTGAATGCCGAGGCCCAACTCCCTTGGGTGACTCAGCTGCTGGTCGCACCCAAGCCCGACCAGGTGTGTGGGAGGTGGGCAGGCGACTGAGCTCAGCGCAAGCCTGTGCGCGGATTCGGGCTCTCTCCAGGAGGTTGCCAAACTCTTGAATTTGCCCCAGTTGGGGTGTAGGAGCATCACACCACCACAGCTAATTAAATTCCGGAGTGAAAACATGTTTTACCGCGATTCCTACCAAGCCCAACAAGCCACAGGGAGCAAGCACGGTGCGGCCTGGGCCCACTCCGCACCCCTGGGGTGGGGCACGCCGCCTCTGCGGGCCCCGCCCTCCTGGGGTCGCAGTGGGCTCCAGGGACACGGTCTCAGTGGGCAGTGCCTGGGACTGAGAGCTACGGGCTGGCCTGCGCGCAGCGTGCTTACATGTCACAGGCCCTCATCTCCCTGAGGCTCGACTGAGGGCTGCCCTGAGACCCAGCGCCCCCTTCCCTGGGCCCCGTCCTGTCCTGAGCCGAGCCTGGAAGCTGGCCCTGCCCTCAGCTAAGCTGGGCCTCTTGTTTACCACGTATGGGTCCGCTGAGGTCCATCTGGCCCCAGAAGGCCTGGGGGCCGCTGGGAAGGGGACAGTCTTGGGGGTCTCCCCGGCCGTGCAGCAGTGCCCAGAGGGAGCCCTGTGTTAGCACCACCCACCCAGCCAGCGGCGGAGGGCTGCGCTCTGGGCCTGGCTCCCTGCCTCCCCTCAGGCCCTGCGGGAGGGCCTGGGAAGCTCCAGTAATGGTTTTAATTTGTTGAACTTGTGTTTTATCCCATAAATTAGTCACTGTTTTATTTAACAGAATCGAGATATCCACAAACAATAGGCGAGTTCCAACTTGAACATTTTAATGAGACAGAAAAAAGTATATATGTTCGCGTCTGTTACAAACGTATTTATGTAAATAGCCTGTGGGCTGCGTGCCAGGAGGAAAGAAGAAAGGGAAGGGCCCTCTGTGCTGGGGTGCCTGGGTTAGAAAAGAGGCTTTTGTGGTGGAAATGACATTGAGCAGGGCCCCAGGGAGCAGTGCAGCCCCTGCACCCGCTCGCGCCCCCTGCTGTCCCAGCGGTGACACCTGGGGCGCCGCTGGTGGGACTTCACCTCCCCAGGAAAAAGGGGTGTGCTCCTTGCAGGGATGTGACATCCAGTGAGATGCTCCGCGAGGCGGTGGAGCGTGCAGGGCCCAGCACACACATCTCCTCCCCAGGGCCCTGGGCCACCTGGCCACCTGGAAGGAGGTTAGCTCAGGGCAAGGCTGGCAAGCTGGCACAGATGAGGAGGTTTACTGAGGAGGGCGTCACCATCTAGAAGCGTCAGGGCAGATGTGCGGCCTGCACTCTGGACGGGGCCTGGCCGTAGTGCTCGAGCCACCCTCGAGCCACCCATGCTTCTGAGGGAGCCCCAGCCGTGGTGCCACCGGGCTCGGCAACTCAGGCAGGCCGGGGGCTGGTGGCTACGGACCCAGGAATGGCCCCCGCTGGCTCTGCCCCTGCGTGCTCCGGGCAGGAACCGAGCCAGCATCCGGATCGGATCCGGGTACGCGCCGTTCCCAGCCCGGGCAGGTCCCTGCAGGAAGGAGGAAGGAGCCGAGGGAGGAGGCAGAGGGATGACCCTTGCCAAACGCCTGCCCAGTAGCCCTGGCTGCGCCGGGAGAGAGCCGGCCAGGCTGGGGGCCTCTGGATCCCTTGCCGGAGGCCTGAGGCGTCTGTGCCAGGCGGCTCCTGAGTCTCTGTGGGGCCTTCAGGCGGGGCTGAGGCGGGAGGCCGGGCGGGGCCCAAGCCCCCCACCATCTGTCCAGGAGGACGTGGCCCCATCCCAGGGGTGAGCCCGGTCTGCCCCCTTCCCTGCCAGGGCTGAAGGGTGACCGACACCCTCCCTGCCTTGGCACATGGAGCCCGGCTGGCCATGGTGGCCCTGCCACCCTGCACAGCTGGGTCCCCGCCAGCCGCTCAGGACTGACTTTAAAAATAAAAGATAACTTGATAGATTTTTTTTCCAGTTTTTATTGAGTGAAAATGTCAAACCTTGCATCAGTCATGCAAAAAAAAAAAAATCAAATAAATAAAACACATATATTAAATTTCTAATAGCACTAAATTCAAGTGGAAAAATATTCAGTTCTTAATAACCAGGTGCCGAGGAGACCAGATTCAAGTAATCAGAGCACACGCTGTTCAGTTCGGTTTTCACGTTCTGCGTTTTCGTCTCAAAACCTCTCTATATATCTCTATATATCTATATATGTATATACATATAGATATATACACACATATGTGCATACATATTATTTTATATTTATATATATACACATACATAGTTATAAAACATTAAAAAGAGCATTGGTGGATCAAGCATTGTTTTCCCCACAGAAAGAAAATAAAACAAAAATTACACATTAAAATTCAAAATGAGCTAGCAATGGCTTATAGTCCTAGTGTGCAATATGAAGGTTACAAAAGGCTAGACTTCGCACTGTCGGCATCTTCTTTTTTCTTTTTGTTTGATTTTGCTACATTGAAAAAAAAATTTTTTTTTTTCCTTTACAAAACTCCTTCCACAGACTCCCCGGTTCTGTGGTCGGGCACAAAGTCTGGGCGAATGCTCAGCAGCAGCACGTGGTGCCCACAGCATTCAGGAGGCTCTGGTAGGGGCTGTTCTAGAAAACCATTTGTTTCCTGTTGAATCAGGTACACTCCTTCCGACCACTCCTCCCTCCTGCTCCCTCTCCAGTTCAGATGGTCCTGGCTTTCTGGCTGTGGGCAGCCAAGAGGACAAAAAAAAAAAAAAAAAAAAAAAAAAGAAAAAAGAAAGAAAGAAAAAAAAAGTAAACCACTGCCCCCTGCAGCTGGTCAGGCTCCCCTTGGAGACCTCTGGGGAGGAGGCTCTGGGTGACGGCCCCTCCCCCAGGCTGGGCCTCACGCTCTCCCTGTGGCCATGTCACAGGGCCCAACCTGAGACAGGGCTGGTGGCCCGGCCTGGAGTGAAGATGCACAGGAGCGGCCTTGGGCAGCCTGCCCTCCGTCCCTGTCGCCCTCAGAGCCATTGGCCGGGCACGTACCTGCCAGGTGGGCCCCGGCTGGCTCTGGGCTCGGTGAGCTCATTGCTGAGGGAGGGTGGCAGGGGTGGGGGGCTGGGATTTGCAAAAGGAACCAAATCCGGGTGGGTTGCACCAGCAAAGAAGTATCCCAAAGAAATTAATAAAACAAACTGGGAAGAAAAAAGCCCTATAAAGCCACACGCATAACCAATAGAGAAAAACTCAAATGTTAAATTAACTACAAACTTGTATCAGTAATAACAGTCCTTTTTTCTTGTCTCTACGAAATTCAAGTTAAAAGTTGGAATCACGCAGCTCCCATCAGTGCTAGTGTAAAGACGGACAGCCTCAAACTGGTAAGGCCTCTAAACGCTAAACAAAACCCCACGTGAGCAATTGCACTCGGGTCTCCAACCTCAGGGCTGGTCCGGAGGCGGTCTGCGCTCTAGCCGCCCGCCTGCTTTTTTTTTTTTTTTCTTCTTTTGTTCTATGTAGAATAATAACCTTTACAGGAAAAATACTGTACAACTTTCTCGTATTTTTTTCCATGTTGACTATTAAAGCCCCAAACAGTCGCATCCTTCCTGTTCTCACCACCTGGGTGGCAGAGACGCCCTGCGGGCCCAGCAGCCCAGCACCAGCGAGCAGACGCACCCCTTCCCAGGCCCCAGCCCTCGGGACGGACACCCCGACCAGGCCCCGCGCTGGGGGCAGAGTGACCCGGAGCTCCCCGCTCTGCCGAGTCCAGGAGGTTCCCTCCGCGGTCCCTGTAGTGTCGCCCGCCGGACGCCTCCTGCCCCGCCCTCCCCCAGGACCGGGAGGGAGGGTCTTAGCTGCACGAATGGGAGGCCCTGCCAGGTGCCACAGGTGCCGGCCCGCCTCCGGTGGTGAGGGGCGGAGGTCGCGGCGATCCCCGGCGCCCGTCCCAGCCCTGAGCAATGAGGAATCCCACCGGCGTGCTCGGGGGGCCCGGGGTCCGGCGCGGGGAGGGCGCGTGGGGCAGCCGCCCGGGGTCGCCGCCCTCCTCGCCCTCCGGGCCTCCTGCCCCTCGTTCCCACCCCGGACAAGAGCACCTTCTATTTCCCTGAAGAAGATCCCCGAACTGCGGCTGAGGAGGGTCCCGGGCAGCCTCTGTCCTTCCAGCCGCCCAGCTGCCGCGCGGGTGGGGCGGGCGGGCGCGGGGGCAGCCCCGGAGCACCAGAGGGAGGCCCCCGCCTCTGTCCTGAGACGGACTCGGGGTCCGGAAGCACCGGCGGGGCGGCCCCGGGCCCGGAGCGCCTCTCGACGCCGGGGCGCGGCGAACACCTAGCTCTGTACAAGGGAAGCTTTACATATAAATACCGTTTCTTACAAAATTGATAATAATAATAACAATAGAATAAAGCGGCAAGATCCCGAGGGCGCCGGGCGCGGCCGGCCCCCCACGCGCCACGGGCCCCGCGGCTACGGGGAGGCGGCGGCGGCAGGCGTGGGGCCGGGGGGCGCGGGAGCGCCGAGGGCCGCCAGCTCCAGGCTCCGCGACCCCGGCCCCGCCGCCGCCGCCTCGGAGAGCGACTCCTCCGAGTCGGTGCGCAGGTCCTCGTCGTCGTCCTCGTCCTCGTCGTCGTCCTCGTCGTCCTCGTCGTCGTCCTCGTCGTCGTCCGCCTCCTCCTCGTTCAGCTCCAGCTCCTCCTCGTCGTCCTCCTGCGACGACTCGCCGGCCGCGGGGCCGGGCGCGGCGGGGCCGGCGCAGGGCCCGGGGGCGTCGGGCGGGCGGGGGTCGCCCCCGTCGTCCGGACCCCGCCCCGGGCCGGGCAGGAAGAGCAGGGCGGCGGCGGGCTCGGCGCCGGGCGGGGGCGCGCAGTCCAGGCTGGCGGCCGGGCCGGGCGCGGGGCCCTCGGCGCCGGGGGAGGCGGCGGCGGGCGGCTCGCCGCGCTCCTGCTTCTCGTGCTTGCGCTTGTGCGAGTCCATCTGCGACATGCCCACGACCGTGTGGCGGCAGCCGGGGTAGGTGCAGTGGAAGTGCGAGCACTTGAGCTTGTACTTGCAGTCGGCCACGGCGCAGTCGGCGCTCGAGCTGAACTGGCAGAAGCCCGCCGCGCTGATCACGTCCTGCTTGCCGTGGTGCTTGCGGTGCGCCGTGACCTTGGTGCTGTCGGTGCAGCGGAAGCGACAGCGCAGGCAGTGGAAGTGCGTGCTGGTGCCCGAGAAAGGGCAGTCGGCGAAGTGGCAGCTGAGCGAGGCCTTGAAGCGCTTGAAGTCGTCCAGCACGAGGTTGTCCACGCGGTCGTGGTGCTGCGCGTGCTTGTACATGTGCGTGCGCCCGCAGAACTTGTAGCCGCAGTTCTCGCGCGTGCAGTGGTAGTGGGTGACCTTGAGCGAGAACTGGCAGGCCGCGTCCTTGCAGTCCTCGTAGAGGTCGAAGCGCCGGAAGCCCTCCAGCATCATGCCCTCGTCCAGCATCTTGCGCGAGGAGGCCGTCTTGCGCCGCTTGCCGAACGGCGACATGTCCTCAATGATCCAGAAGCGCTTTTTGGCCCCGGAGGCTGTCGGCATGGAGATGGTGTTCCCTGGGGAGGGGGGCTTGGTCAGCGCCCACGTGCACATCCTACCCAGGATTACACCCACGCGAGGTCCCCGATCTCGGCGCGGTGGGCGGGGGGGGCCGCCCTCGGGGACAACTCCGCTTCCCGTCGCTCTGGGGGCCTCTCCTATGACCACCCCTCCGCCCCCTGGATAGCTGGGGAGCCCCAGGCTTCCCCCTTCGTCATCCGCATCTGCAGGCTGACCGCACTGGCCTGCCCTGGTGGGTGGCGGAGCAAGCAGCTCTGGGGGATGTGGGTGGGAAGTGAGGACACGTCCTGGCGCTAATTGAAGCTGAAGGGGGAATCTAGGTCGGCAGAGTGTAATTACCCAGGTTGGACGGGGGCCAGGACGCCATCACGCACCCGCCTCTAATGAAGGACAGGCCGGCTCCTTCTCCCGGCCGGCTAACCAGTTTCCCGGGCTGCCGGCCTGTCTGCGCCTGGGACCAGCCTACTCGCAACAGGGATGCCGCGCGCCCTGAGGCTGTTGGGGGTTGTAACTCCCCGCCCCAAGGCGCACCTTCTCCTTGGTACCAGAAGTTTCTTTCAGGTCTTGGGGTGTCCCACCCCCAGTGGACTGGGAGAGGGCAGCTCTGCTGCAGGGCCAGGACTGGAGCAGGGGCTCGGCCAGCGGATGGGCTCCATCTGTGCCCTCCCCATCCTGGTCCCAACTGCTTCCTGGGCTTAGGATGCCCCGTTGCCAGGGCTGCTTAATCCACTGTGTGGTTGTGCTTCCCATTACTCCTTTTCTGCACAGGCAGCTGGGGAAGGGGTGACCGTCCTGGGACTCCCTGCTCCACGCCCCAGGCCCAGCCCTCTCCAGAGTGCAGGGTGGGCACCCTCTGGGCTTCTCCCTCGCGCTGACCCTCCCAGCCCTCCCAGAACCTGCCGAGAAGGCTCAGCCCAGGCACCAGCCTGCTGCCCCATCTGTCTGGGGAGCAGACCTAGTCCCCGCCTCAGCAGGTGGAGAGAACGAGGACTGTGATGGGCTGGGGTACCCAGCAGGGGGCAAGGAAGGGTCTGGGCCCTGGGGATCCGGGTGGGTGAGGAGTGGCTGCTTTGGGTCGGAGGTCACAGGGCTCTGGCTGGTTAAGCGACAGAACAGGGGCTGAATTCCCTGAGGAGGAACCCTCTGCCTTGGTCCCTGCCATCCCCCTGGGCTGGCCCAGTGCCTGGCAGTCGGGCAGAATGTGAGGTAAGACTGCACGGAGGAAGAGGCAGAGCCAAGGTGGTGACGGCACCAAAGGGCAGGGGAGGGCAGGTCCCGTGCCTGCCGGGCGGCAGGTACAGGGTGGGGCTGGGAGGCACCTCTGCCGTGGAGCACTGCCCGCGGCCTGGGCCTCTTCCTGCTTGGCTCTGGGGCTGGGGGTTCAGGCTGGTGTCAGGATCCTGCAAACCTGGGCGGGTCCCAGGCACCAGCAGCTTTCCCAAGAACATCTCTGCCCCGGGTGAAGTCCTCAGAGCAGGACAGGCTCTGCCTTGCTGCAGGGTTAGGGGGGTGGGGTGGGCATGGCCATCTTGGGGCTCTGGCCAGTCCCTGAGCTGGGGTGAACCCCAGGGAGCCCCGGCAGTGATGTTCTGGCCTGCCCAGTGCTGAGCAGGAGCTGAGAGGAAATGTCCTTGGGACAGGGACCAGGCTCTCTGGTCTTGGCGCGGGCTGCGCTGTGAGGGGTGCAGAGTGGCCCTGTCCTTGACCCAGCTGACCACAGAAAAGGGTCAGGTCCTGGACCGTGGCCTCGAGGCTCGGCCAGGGTGACAGACAGCAGTGGAGAAGACATGTGTGAGTTACCTGCGGCGTCCTGAACTAGGGGGGCGTCACTTTTTACTGGAGTTGGAGTGGCAGTGACGGGCGGGAAGCTGGGCGGGCTGCTGATGGGGTGGGCCAGGCCCCGAGTGGCTCCGAGAGAGGCACTGAGCAGAGAGTATGAGAGACAGGGTGGAGAAAAGAGGCATGGCAGGGAGGGGAGGGGCGCCCGCAGCACGGCCGCAGAGAAGGATGGGGTCAGTGGGGGCTGTGGAGCCACGCGGGCAGCCTCGTCAGCGGCGGCGGCAGGAGGAGGAGGAGCCGGGCAGCCTGGAGAGGGCGGGGAAAAGCAGAAAAAAAAACCAAAACAAAGAACAAACAGAAAGAACCAAAATGAGAGACCCAATGGCAGAAGCGAGTATGATATGAAAATCCGTGGACAGAGGAGGAGCAGACAGATGCCACGAAGAAGAGAGGGGAGGAGGGGGCAGAGCAGAGCGACTGGGAGGGAGCGGCGGTGCAGGGAGAGGTCACGGCGGGCTGCGCAGGGCCTGCGGCAGAGCCCAGCCCGCGGAGGACCTCGCTCTGGGGCCCAGGGACCGTGCTGGGGACAATGGCAGAGGGGCCGTAAGAGGGACCAGGGCTGGGCGGGGCCCACCTGCCCCTCTGGCTGGGGGCTGTGCTGCTTTTTTCTGTACCTCACAGCTCAAGCCCGGGTTCTCTCCTGGAAACGGAAGCTGAGGGCAGAGTGCCGGGGAGATGGGCAGGGTGGCAGCAGGCGGGGACCCACGTTCCACAGAGCAGCCAGCGCTGCCACACCCTGGCCCGTCCTCCTTTGAGGCCACTTGACCATGAACCTCCTGTCCTGAGCCGGACCCAGCACTGCTGGGCCTCGGAAGGAGGGCCTGTCCCAGGCTGGCGCCCCCGGGCCCCCGCTCACCTGCTGCGGTGCTCTCGTTGCCCACAGGGGTGCTGGAGCAGCTTCGGTCCATGGTGGAGGACTCAGAGGACACGGCGCCCGGGCTGCAGCCAGTATAATCCATGTACTCGTCCGTCTCGGTGTCCATCAAGCTCGGGGGGCCCTGAAAGGAAGAGGGGGGCCCTGAGGAAGCTGGGCTGGGGGCTGTGCTGCCCACAGGGGCAGGCTGTCGCTTTGGGCAGCCTGGCCCACCACCTGGAAGCAAGAGCGGGACACGAGTGATGCCCTCTTGCCACCCCGGGTCGCGGAGGGGCAGCCTGCCCGCCAGGCTCACCTGGGAGGAGGGCACGCGATCGAAGTTCTTCCCCAGCATCCTCCGCATGTGCTTCCGGGCGTGGGAGGTCATCTGGTGCTTGAGGAGGAAGGAGAACTGGCAGCCCTCCCGGATGCAGTGGAAGTGGCTGTTCACCTGGTTGTACTTGCAACCTGTGGACACAGCCCCGCTCGGCCGTGAGCCTCCCCCGCCGGCCAGTGCTCATGGCACCCCCTGCGTGTCGGGCACTGTTCTGGGCATGGGCCTACGTGGCCAACCAGGCAAATGGCTTCTGGGGGAAGGGCGTGTCCCCATTGGTGGTGTTCCCGTAAGGAGGGCTTCTAGCAGCCTCTCACCCCAACCCCAGAAAGTCCCAGGCCCCCTGGCTGTCCAAAGCCTGGCTCTCGCCTCCAGCCTGCACGCCCGGGACAACAGCAGGCTGGCCCCCGGCCCCTGCCCCAGGGCAGGGGACCCTAATGACCTGTCCACTAGATCAGCCACCTCCCAGCAAGCCACCTGTCCCCACATCTCCTCTGGGAAGCCCAGGTGCTGCCTGCCCCTGGACCAGGTCAAGATGGCTGCGAGCCGGCTGGCCCTCTGCCCTGCCCCGCCCCACCTCGGCTTTGCTCTGGGTGGAGAACAAATAGAGCGAGCCGGACTGAAACGGTATCAGCAGAGGGCAGGTGAAGGCCTGCCCGTTGCCATGGCACCTGAGCCGGCCAGGTGTCTTATATCATCCCCCAGCTTTGGCCCCAGCTACCACCCAGAACACCCAAACTGAGTAAATAACGGCAACTGCGGAATCCCCTGACACCTGTAAACTGAGCCCAGGGACAGCACAGGCCACCGAGGGTTGACATCTGTTGCCGTGATTCCCAGGCCTCTCTCAGGCCATTAATGATTTCTGAATTAATTCTTGAAGGAAAGGTTTGTTGCCGTTCTTTTCTAGCGGTTGACTTTTGACTGCCTCATCCTCCCCCTATGCAATGGCCGGTCGGCTGCAGGCAGCGGCCCCACCTCTGCTCCCCCTGGACCCTGCTGCCATGACCACCTGAATCACAGCAGGCCTTGCATGCAGCCCAGGTGTCTGCACCCAGCCTGCCTGGCTCCCACCTGCCTTCCGGCTTCCGGTCTCCTCGTGGGCAGACTCCTGCCCCACGTCTGCAGGCCCACAAATGCGTGGCTCCATGCTGAGGCGGGAGGATGGGCTCTGCCTCCCTCTGCTGGTCCTGGAGCCCCCTCCCCACAGCATCCCCAGGGCAAGCTGGGGCCAGCGAGCTCCTCGGGGAGGCCTTGTTCCAGGGCTGGGGGGCAGCTTCCCTGCCAAGGGCTCAGCTCTCAGCAGCAGAGTTAACTCCGAGGCACCTGCCCCTGAGCTCAAGGCCACTTCCTTGCCCCGTGGCCACCTCCTTCCAGGTCACCCCAGGTCACAGATGCTCTGGGCTGAGCCCACAAATGTACCTGCTGGTCCCATCAGATCCCCAGCACCAAGTACAGTGCTGGCCACAGTGGACGCTCGAAAAAGACCATAGCTTCCACCTCTACCCGCCCCTCACCTTCTGCAATAGCACAGAGCCTGGCACACGGCTGCTCCTCCATGAACGTATGCTGAGTGAGTGAATGAACAAACCACGGTCCATTTGGGATAAAACCCGAGTAGCTTCAGGAGCTCCTAAGACTTACCTGCAAGGCTCTCTTGAAAAGAAAAGGAAAAAAGAACCAGGCCTGGGTGCCAGAGACGAGGCTCCGGGCGTTTTCACTGGGGTGGGTGCAGTGCTGGGAGTCACCCTCACCCCTTTTCCTAGGCTCTTGGGGTTTTGACTGTTCTCCTGGGGTGACAATGCCTGGCCTGTGATATCGTGACATTTTCCGAAAAAAAAAACATGGAGCCTGATGTGCGGGGACAAGAAGTGGGTCCCAGGGCCTCAGGCGCCAGAGCCGCGGCCCTGCCACCTGCTGTAGTTCCCTGCCCCCCAGCCCTGGCCTTCGGTACCTAGCCTGCCGCACTCCTCACGCTTGGTGAAGTACTTGAATCCGTTGGCTGCCCGCCGCTCAGCTTTCTCATGCTTCTTTATGTGCCACGGCAGCTTGGTGGTGATGTTGGTCACAAAGTAGCAGCCGGTCCTGAGACAGTGGTAGTGCCCGCGCATCCGGAACTCGCAGTGCTGCAGGGAGGGACAGGAGTCAGGGCCGGGCAGGCGACTTCCGTTAAGCTTCCACCTGCCCCAGCCCTCTAGAGGGCTGTGGCAGGCGTGCGTCCTTCCACGCTCAGAATCAGCAAACACAACTGTGTAAAGACCTTTCACGTGTTAAAAAGCAGTAAGTCCCTTCTGTCATTTGATTAAAACATCCCACCTGGTATTGTTTCCATCTCTTTCTAAACCCACGCCCAGCACAGACATCACTAATCTGTCTGAGCACTCTTGTCTGTGTGCCCAGATGGAGGCTCAGACTCCTTCTTAATGCGCTCTGCCAGGCAGCCCCTACAAGTCTTGGGAGTAGGCCTTTATAATGAAGCTGACCTGCCCTTCCTGTCTGGGGCACGGACAGTTCAATCTCTTTATCTGTCTAATGGGTCTATTTTAAAATCCTAGGCCTCTGGGGAAAGGGAGCATAGCTGTTCCAGGACGCGCACAAGGATGCCAAGTGCACAGAGGCTGCCCGGCATACAGGCATCATTGAGGGTTAGGATGAAATGACAGACCTCACCAACAGAGCACCAAGCTGAACTCCTGCCTAGGGGTCTCCAGGGACCTAGGGGCAGACCTAGGGGCAGACGGTGTCCTTTCCAGACTCTGGAGGAGGCCACTTACAAAAGGGTGTGAGACACGGAGCCTCGGCCAGGAGGAGCTGGTCAGGGGCCCTGCGCCTCCCTGCCCCCACCCCAGGGGCCACCCCGCCCGCATTGCTGACCTGGTTGGGACAGAGGCACTGCAGGGAGTAGTACGCAAACTGGTCTCGCACGTTCACGAGGTTGTTGTTGGGATTGATGTGGTCCAGGCAGTGGGACTCGGCCTTCCCGGAGGTTTTGCAGACATACTTGCAGTTCCCAAAGAGACAGTGGAAGTGGAACTTGTTGGCATACTTGCAGTCCGTGGCGAGGCAAGGATCGCTGGAATGAAACCACGGCCCAGAAGGTCATTGGCATTCCTGGTGCCCTCCCCGCCGGTGTCCTGACATTTGCTCATGTTGGGGTTCCGCTCCCCGCTCCCCTGTGGTGTAATCAAGAGGAATGGCCCCTGGGCTGCCCTCCTGCTCAGCAGGACGATTCGGCCAGAGACTACAGATCCCAGCATGCAGTCTTGCCTTCTTTTTAGAGCTCTGAGGGCGCCGAAGGGACTGCAGTATGCAGGCGGCCCAGAGCACTGCATGCTGGGACACGTAGTTTCCGTGGCCACACCCCAGGATTACAGATAAGGATGGCCGCAATCACTTCATGGATATGGAAATGAGCGATGGTGCTGCCAGGCCTGGCTGATGTGGCATAGGCAGTGCCCTGGCTGTGGCCGACTGACAGGGTGCAGATGGGTGGGCAGCCCTACCAGGAGGCTTTGCCACCATGGGGCCTTGGCCAGTGGGAACGTGTGCCTGGTGTCAGGTCCTGCTGAGGCTCAGCTGCTGGGGTTTCCAGGGTCAGCTCGGGGCTCGGGGCTGCCACCCACTCAGAGAACCTCACAAGCCAGCTGAGTGGTGGGGCGGCTGGGGTGGGGAGGGGTGCTGGGCGAGCCCCCACGGCTGGCCTGCCCCGAGCAGCAGCCTCAGCTCCAGAGCTCTGCCTTCCAGGCTCCAGGCAGGTGCGGAGGGGCTGCACCCGGCTTCTGCCCTGGCTGACAACACAGCCGCCCCCGACATCCACAGTGGACCTGGGCTGGGAACTCCGACCAAGGCCGGGATGCTGAGAGGGCTGCCACTTTGGGGAGGTGAACAGAGGAAGGGAAGCTGGGAAAGGGGCAGAGAGGAGCGCAGGTCCCCTTCCACGCCGTGGGCCCAGCCCCAGGTGCTCAGAGAGGGAGGACAGCTGCCACTCAGGCGGTGTGTGTTCACGTCCAATTTATTACTTTTATTGAGAACAGGAAGCCGCACATATCATGATACAGAGTCACCGTTCTCGCCGCAGGGAGACACCACCATCCAGCGATGAAGGTCCCTCCCTTCCACCCCTGAGAGCTCAGACCGTTGTGCAGGTGGCAGGGTGGGGGGGGGTCCAGAGGAGGGCCTAGCCCCCTCGCCGCCCACCTATGACTTTGCTTGCCCTGCAGAGACTCAGCCAGGGGTGTGAGCCACAGAGACCAACAAGGGGACCCGGAGGGAGACGCAGCCCGCCTTGCCGGGCGAGGACCGCCACTCCTGGCCCACCCAGGCTGGTCCTCGCAGCGTCACCAGTGGCCTCTCTGGAACAGTGGCCACTACCTCCACCATCTCCCCCCACCCCGGCCACCTGCTCCGGGAATAGGCAATGAGGTCTGAGCAGCAGCAACTTTGGCTAGAAGGACATCACCCAGTGACCGTGTCCCAGAGAGGCTGGGGACAGCCGGGGCTACTGCAGGGGAAGGAGCAGGGCCTCCTCAGCTGCCCTTACTAGCACCTACTCCCGAGACACACGGGGGACACAGGGCTCCCGGCTCATCGAGGGACTCACTTCTCCTGGAACTGGAGGAATCCGGGTTTGACCTGGGGCTTGGCGTTTTCTAGAGAAGTCGTTGCCAAGGGCGAAGTGGGCAGGTGAGGCACTGACGCTGGAATCTGAGGCATCTGGGGTATGGTGGAAGCCAGCTGCTTCCAGGCGAGCAGGGTGGGGCTGGAGGGCACTGCGGCCAGGCTGGGAGTGGGCCCCTCGAGAGAGGAAGCCGTGGCCGTGGTGATGGGAGGCGCTGGAGGGGATGAGGGGGCCAAGGAAGGTTTGGTCTCAGCAGCCGAGGCCGGGAAGGAAGCCTCCACATTTCCTTTCACTGCTCCTCCCTCTGTCCGGAAGTGGAAGCTACGAGAGACAGGAGAGGTGTCTCAGGTGCGGGAGGAGAAGGCCCTTCCCTGGCACGCCTGCCTGCCTGCCTACGTATGACCCCATCACAAGCCTAGGGGCCCAGTGTCCCCACCGCATCTTCAGTGCCAGGTGCCAGAGGCCTCCCACCAGGAGGGAAGGACTGAGAACACACTGCTGTGTCCTCTGATCTTGAACTTGGGCTCCAGGCTCTGCCCTAACTACACCTTCCTACTTGTGACCTTACTGATGTGCTGTCCCTAGCTCCTCCCTACTCGGGAGGGGTTGGGTACAGCACGTCCTGGCTCATGAAGCCTGTCCTTCCAGAACCGGCTCCGACATTTAAAAGCGGGTTGGGGGGGGGGTGTCTCAGACCAGCAGCTGGGGCTGCCTAAGCAGTGAGAAGAGCCTGACCCGGGGCTTAGGGAGCGGTGAAGATCTGCTGTAAACGTTTACCAGTTCTGGGTTCAATTACAGTAGGCGGCTGGGCTTGCTGCTCAACGAATTGTACAAATTAATTTCATTATTTTTAGGTCAAAGAGAATCTACAAATGCAGTACTGTGGCTTGGAAAAGCCTTCACTTAGGGTCCCTGCCGGGGTCAGTGCTGGGCCTCTCCAGCTGCCTCTGCAGGAGCATCTGTGGGAGGGAGGGCTGACGGCTGCATGGGCCCCGCGGTGGGGAGAACCAGCTCTTACTCGGGGCGGGGCCTGGGTGGGCTCAGAGGACCCAGCTGGGGGCTGAGCCAGTGGGAGATGAGGAAGCCTGCCTTTTGCCGGGCAGCACCTCTGAGAAGCCAGCTCAGCTTCTGAGGTCTTGTGGGAACCGCACACGGGTCCTGCTTGGAAGGCTGCTAGAGGCCTGTGCACCCCCTAGCCCCACCCCGGCCCACCCACCCCCGAGCCAGGCTGGGACAAGTGGGGCTGGGTTTAAACGGGCCCCCGGACCCCCACTCACTTGGCGTGCTTGATGGCCCCGTCCAGGGTGCTGAAGAGCGCGCCGCACTCCTCCACCACGCAGTGGAAGTGGGCCTTGTGGAGGAAGTCACACTGCGCGTTGCAGAAGTCCTTGGTGCCAAACCTGGCAGAGGGGCCGGCTGCTCAGAGGAGACCCTGGCGCTCTGGCGAGGCTGGGGGAACAGCCTCGTGGGGGGAACACGTGCCCCCGGGACGAGTGGGCGTGGCCCTTCCCTCCCCCTTTGCTCACACGGCAAGCCCCTCACCTGCGAAGGTAGACCTTCCAGGGCTCTGACAGCTTCTCCTGAACCAGCGCCTTCACGGCCTTGCCCAGGAAGGGCGAGGACTCCCCGGCGGGGCTCCCCTCCGCTTCTGTCTTGATGTTCAACAGGCTGCCGAGGCTGGGATTGCCCTGAGACATCTGCGAGGAGGACAGGCCCGTGCTTCAGGCCGGGGACCTCAGGACACCTGACCCGACTGCCCTGGGAGGAGTGGCAGCTCTGGGCCGCTCGGGCCTCTCCAAACTGACCAGAGCATCGCGGTGCTGGCAGCCGGGAGGAGAGGAGGCCCGACCCCACGCGGCTCTGGCTACGGAAGAGCCCTCACTGAATGGACGCTGCCGCGGGTGGCCTGCGGCGCTGCCCCGGCCCCGTGGAGCTGCCGGGGCTCTGCCACACAAACCCCGGGCTGCTAGGAGCCATCACTCAATCGGAGGCCGAGACTCCGGGCACACACTCCAGCCCAGCTTTCCCCAGACTAAGCGGCTCCCTGGTTATTCTCCTGCCAGGTTTTCAAAAGAAGTGCAGGAGGAGGAGGAAGGGGGTGGGGGGGAAACCCTCACGAATTCCTTGAGAACAAGAGAAGGAACACAAAGGAGGAGCAGAGAGGGAGGGAAGGAGGCTCACGGAGTGAGACCGAGGCAGGCTCGCTGCCGCTGCTGCTGGCAGAGGAGGGGGCGGGGAGTCCGCGGAAAGGCTCGACCCACGTGGGCTGTGGGTCTCCGACAGGAAGGAACAAGGGGGCGCAGGGAGCAGTGACCCAAGAACGGAAAAGGGGAGCAAGAGAGCGAGCAGGGGAGGGCGGAAGGCAGAGGGCACGCGCACCGACCGACCGGACAGAGGCCAGTGGGAGGCCATGGGCCCAGCAGGAACCCCACTCCGTGGGTCCGGCCCGGGCCCAGCTCCCTCCTCAATAGTCACTTGTGTACGGTAACCTAATTAATCTTGCTGTAGTCAAATTTATCATGTGAAGGGGGAAAATATATTTGCGATGATGTATAATTTACAAAGACCCTGCATTATTTAAAATAAATATTCTGGAGCGGCCTCTGCAGCAGGCGTCCGAGACCATTACTCAACCTGAAAAGTGGAAATGGGCGCTTTGCTCCCGCTTTGGTCTCCCCCTCCACCTTTTTAAACAAACAAAAAAATATATAAAATGAATAAAATGAATAACCAGGAGTGAAAGAAGTTAGAGGGCTCCGGAAAAGCTTTTGGAGCCCTCCATCTGAAGGGAAAAAAAGGGTGTCAGAGGCTGGAATATATTTCTTCAGCCAGTTCATTAAATTAATTTGTAAGCAGTGGCTCTGAAATTATATCCGATGAAAAATGGCCTCAAAATTTAAATGGTACAAACTCATCTTATTAGAGGCAAAACATTAAAAAACAAACACATCCCCCCCATCCCCCAGCACAGCTTTAATCTCTCGGGGTGGGGGGATGGGAGGCGTGTGATGGATGGTTCTTACCTTATTCATAAGCGAGGATAAAAGAGATGAATTTGCCGGGACTGCGTGGCCATTTGATTCATTACTGGAACACACAAACCAAGGGGCTTTAGCTCAGACAGTACGTGGGACCGGGCCCCAGAGACTCACCCCTCCCAGCCGGCCCCTGGGGCTCTGGCCCCGCCTGCTACATCTGCCTGGGCAGGAGGATGACCCCTTGTCAGGAAGGGTTGGCCCCTGGCCCCATGGAGTCTGGCTCTGAGGGTGCTGTCCCCAGAGCCTCCTGCAGGGGGGCAGAGCTGGGAGGCCTGGGCCTCGCCTCACCTGGGCTCCTTCAGAGTCAGGTCTAAACTGCGGTCCTGGGAGGCCTCGTGGGGACCTGGGGCGCCAGCACTCTCACCGGGCTCCTGCTTCACCGGGGCTGGGGGGAACCTGGCAGGGGTGGCCTGCTGCCCATTTCCTATGGGGGAGGGGGGAGGGAAGATGGTGTTAGAGGGACCGAGGGCTTCATACGGGCACAAGCCGGAGCCCCCCGAAGGGAGGGCAGCGGGCCGGGTGGGCTGGGGCCCCTGGGGAGCCCTGGCTGCTGGTCAGTGGTCCTCCCCACTGACATGATGGCTTGTGATGCTTCCCCCTGTGTGGCAATTCTTCAAGTGATAATTATTGCAAAATTATGTCAAAGTTGTCCTGGCTCAGGGCCTCCTGTAGGAGAAGGGCGGGAGGATGGGGAGGGGGCTGGGACGGGGGCGGGGGCCCTTCCTCTTCTCCACCGACTGTCACAGTCAATTTGTGGAGCTGCCGCTTAGGCTTTTATTAAAGACTCTGTTAATGCTGAGGGAAAGTGGCAGATCGAGACTGGGAGCTGCGCCCCCTCCGCAGGTCCCGTCCCCACTGTTGCCGAGGCGACAACCCTGCCTTCCACTGAGCATGCCCAGGAGGGGCATCTGCTGTGTCAGGGCTATGGGAGCTGACAGCCAATCAGAGCGGTTCAAACTATGTGACCTCGCCCGTCAAGCTGTCCAGGGCAGGGATATGAGGCCCACCCTGGCCAGGCTGGGCTGGATGGGGTGGGTGGGGGAAGCTGGCGGGGTGTAGGCATGGCGGGGAAAGGCTGGAGCTGAGCGGGCAGAGGATTCGGGAGGCCAAGCAGAACAGGGCAAAAGAAGTTGCTGACAGGAACATGTCCACCGAGCCTTTCCCCACAATCCCCAAGTGACTGAAATATTAATCTGCCCCAAGGCGCTGCAGCTGATGGAGAGCTGCTTCACAGAGAGCAAGTGGCATTTTATTAAAAAATAAAGGGAAATGGCCCCCTTCCCTTCACTTGACCTTTCTTTTCGGGGAAGGAGCTTTTTCTAAAGAAAAGAAAGTACTTGACAGTCTGGCCACGGAGCCCAGCGTGGCCCCAGCCTGCAGGCACCTCGCCGGAGGCGCGCGGCCCCGGGCAGTCAGGCCTGACACCCACACTTGGAGTGGAAGGTGGGTCACAGCTGATAGGAGTGTCCCACTGGGAACATGATATTCAGTTTTCAGAATTCAGAGTCCACATTCCAGGAGCTCCCCAAAGCCACTTGCCCAGGGTCCCTAGGGAAACAGGGCTCTGACCCTCCTGCCAAGCACTCGTCTCTCTGGGGGCACTGCGCAGAGCCCTGGGTGGGCTGCAGGGACCCTCAGTCTTGGCGGGTTTCAAGACAGTCTCACAGAGGAGCAGGGTGCCCGGGCTCAGAAGCCAGCTGTTGAGGTCCAAGTCTCGACCTGGCCACCTCCCAGGGGGTATACTTGGGGACAGACTATGCCCCACACTGTTCCATCAGCTCCACAAGGCAGGAGTTTGTCTGTCTTCTTCCCTGCCATGTCCCCAGCACTGGCTTGGTGCCTGGCCCACCAGCAAGCTGCCCTCAGTGAGCACCAGTGGTTGATGAATGACTGAATGAATGAAGGAAGGAAGGAAGGAAGGAAGGAAGGGAGCCACGTCCCAGACGTGAGCCGAACTCTTCTAAAGGATTTGACTGATGCCAATTACCCGGATGGGGGAAAACAGAGGGAGAGAAGTGAGGGAAACAGAAAAGCCAAAAAAAATCCAGAGAAAAAGAGTAAAAAATTTTTTCAAGAGCAGAAAACTTGGGAGAAAGGAGAACCTCTCTCCACGATGAGCCAGAGGAGGGACACAGATGTGACTTGGCGACTCTGACATGGCCGCCAGCGGCCGGGTCTGGCTCAAGTGAAAGAAATTCCAGTTGAAATCCAAGTCCTGGGTCACGCTAGCCAATTTCAAGCACTCAACAGCCATGTGACCAGCGGCTACCATACTGGACGGTGCGGAACAGCACGTTCCCACTACCACAGAAAGTGCGACTGGAAAGCACTGATGGACAGGGAGACCCTGGGAGGGCATCCTTGGCCTTGACGGGCTGTCCAGGCACGAATCCCCTGAGCATCCCTGTACTGCGGCCACCCTGCCACTTGGCTGGACTCACATGCCCTCCCAGTCACCTGGAAGAGGTCCCAGGGAAGCCTGGGACTCCGGGACTGCTCCCACTAGGGGCTGGACTAGCGGGAGCCCCTACTAGTCCAGGGTGACATGGCAGGGTTGGGGGAGCCAGCAGTTGCCCCGGGATGCACAGGTACCCTGTGAGGCCGGGACTACTGCTTCCCCTTCACAGATGAAAAAAACAGAAACATGAGTTGCCTGGGGCGGGTGGGCCAGAAAGAGGGGCCCCGAATAGGAAATAAAGAGGACGGAGGCAGAGACCAGGCAAAGAAGGGGGCAGGGGTCTCGGGGGCAGGGAACAGAAGACACTCCTGCCAAACAAACACCCGCTGCTCGGCTCCGCACCGAGGCCAGAGAGCTCCTGGGGTTGGAGAGGTGCTCGCTTCCCAGGCAGGGCCCAGCCTGCTCACCTGGGTCAAAGGTGGCAGAGGGCTTGAGGGCGGCCGCAGCCAGCCGGGCCATCATGGGCGAGATGAGGCCCTTGCTCGCGGAGATCCTCTCCATGATGGAGGCAGGGGGCACCGGGACAGAGGCAGCTGCCGCTGCGGCCGAGTCGCCAGCTCCCGAGGCAGCCAGAGCAGGTGTGTCGGGGGTTACTGAGGCTGCCGTCCCTGACGACATGGTACCCATGAGGCCGGGGGCACCCACAGGCAGGGAGGTGCTGCCCCGGCCCGGAAGGATGGGGAAGTAGGGCGCAGCGCTGGGCAGGCCCGAGCTGGAGAGGGCCAGCGCCAGGGGGATGGAGCCAGGCAGGCCCTGGGCCAGCAGCCCCGAGATCTTGCTGTTGGGAGGCTTGGTGGCACTGGGCCCAGCCTCGGAGGTGGCAGTGGCGGTGACCAGGGAGGCGGAGGACTGCTGGCTGGTGGGGGAGGCGCTGAGACTGGAGTTCTTGCTGCTCAGGGCAGAGAAGTCAACCAGGTCGTCGTTGCTGGACTCCTCGTGCTCCGTGTCCTTGGCGCCCAGCAGCGAGGGCGGCAGCCCCAGCACGCCCGAGCCCGAGGCGCGGATGTGCCGGCGCTCGTGCTTGCGCTTGTGGGAGGTCATCTGGCTGGTGGAGGTGAAGGTGAAGCCGCAGCCGGCGCGGATGCAGTGGAAGTGGTTGGTGGCCTTGCTGTACACACAGCCCTCGTACTTGCACTCCTCGTACTTGTAGAACTTCTTGAAGCCATCCTTGGCGTAGGCGTCGTCCTTGATGTGGTAGCTCTTGTGCTTCTCGATGTCACACTTGTTCTTAAAGGTGAACGTGCAGCCGGGGCGCCTGGCAGGACATCGGGAGGCTGTCATGGGGCCTCACGGGGCCAGGGGGAGGCCCTGCCCTGCTCCCACGGTGGCCCTGGGAGGGATGGGCCTCTGGATGGAAGACCAGGCCAGAAACTAAGGCGGGGCCTCCGAGCAGCCCTCTGCTCCTGCCCCTACACCCCTGAGGAGGTGGGGCCCCGAGCCACCCACGGGCCTGGTGCCCTGCCTGCCGTCCCTCCCCGGGCCAGGAGGCCTCCCTGGCTGCCTCCCGCTCACCTGCAGTGGAAGTGCGTGGTCTTCTGCCCGTAGAACTGGCAGTCGGCCGTGCCGCAGTCCTCAGTGGCTCGGAAGCGCTGGAAGCCGTCGTTGATGAGCTGGGTGTTCTTCTTATGGAAGTTCTCGTGGGTCATCACGTCCGACGTGCTCGTGTACACCTTGTTACAGCCCACCTGCAGGGGCCAGAGTGGCAGTCAGGGGAGCTGAGGCCAGGCACCCTGGCGAAGTCAGAGCGGCTGTGCTGCTGGGCGCAGCTGAGCCTGCCCGGGGGAGCTTCGGCCCCTGTAAACGTCCGACTGGGGGCACCGAGGTTAAGGTAGGACGACCCCTCAGGCCCCCAGGGCCTGGCCCGTGCTGGGCGTGGGTCGTCCTCATAGAGAGCCCGGGATACGTCCCCACACAGGCGTGGGAGCCCCATCCTGCAGGAGGTGGCTTGGGGGTCCCCAGTCTGTGGCTCTACCTCTAAAGCCCCCGGGGGTGAGCAGGGCTGGACCCCGGGGCCTGGCGGTCACCTGTAGGCCGGGGACTTGTTTGGTGAACAGTTTCTGACACAGGGCCTTCCCTACCCCACCCTGGCTGGGCCAAGGCAGGCAACGTTGCCATATTGAGTAAAAACCAGTGGAATCTGAACACTCTTGAGGGCTGGACCGTGCCAGTGTCTGCACCATCTCAGAGCCCAGAGAGCGAGCCCCCCTCTCCTCCTGGCCCAGGTTGTTTCACGGAGGCCATAACAACCCCCTGACAAATACCGGGGGAGGCGCAGGGCTGCTATTTGCAAACGAAAGTCGCTCCCCCCCAGACCTGACACCTTGAAAAAGCCCAGACTCTGCGTGGCATTAAAACAAAGAATTAAACAAAAACCTCCTCAGGAACCATTTGCAATGCTGCTCTTGGTGTTAAAGGCTGAAAAATGTCGGTCTGTATAAACAGCTCGCTGAATTTCACCCGCACCAAGTATGGCCATGGGGAAGGCCCCACCCTGGCCCACCGGACACTGCCCAAGCCTGAGCCCCTGGGCCTCTCTCCTCTGGCCGTCCAGCCCTGGGAAGGGACAAAGGGAGGGGCCCTGCCGGAGGCAGGCCTGCCTCGGGGTGGGGGAGGGGGAGGGCGGGGCACCTGCATGCAGTGGTAGTGGGTGCTCTTCCCGTTGAGGTGGCAGCCGTGGTAGTAGACGCTGCAGTCGTCCAGTGGGCTGAAGCGCATGAAGCCGTGCTGCAGGGAGTTGTCCCGCTTCTTGTGCATGTTGTAGTGCCGGATCACGTCCTGCTTGCTCGTGAACCTCTGCCGGGAGAGGGCCTGGTGGGCAGGAGGCTGGGCCTGGCCCCAGGGCCCTCCGGTCTCCTTACAAATCATCCTGTTGGGTCGAGGCAGCCCAGGCTGCCCCAAGGCCAGCACCCTGGACTTTGGAGGGAACAGTTCCAAAGGTTCCAGAGCCACAGACCCTTCCCTGACCTCCCCGTCGTCTCCCCGTCAGCAGGCCCAGAAGCAGAGAAGATAAATCGGGCCAGGCCTCTCAGGGAGGAGCTCTGATAGGTGACACCTCGTTCTGTCTACTGCCACCTGTGGGCTCTGCCCAGCTGGGCTCCCTGGGGAGGCAGAGGCAGTGGCCTCATGCAGAACACCCACACCCACCTCCCGCCTCTCGCTCACCTGCTCTGCACCTGCCGGAGGGTGGCTTTGAACGTAAGGGCCGATCTGCCTGAACCTCAACACAACCATCTATAAAATGGGGCAGTGATACCAGCCTCTTAAGGACACTGGGAAGACTCGATTAGATAAGGTAGAAGCCCGTGGGCAGCAATCTGGGAACAAGAGCAGGCTGGGAGCTTTTCTGGGCTCTCTGCCTGCCCCAGTCAAATGCAGGTGGCCCAAGCAGAACCGAGTAACCTCGTCCTGCTTTCAAGATGCCCCTCCACTGCTGTGCCAGCCCACAGGAGCAGGACTGGTGCCCGTGGGACATACCTGGTAGTTGCACTCGGGGTCGAGGCAGTGGTAGTGCTCGCGGTACTGGTAGGCGCAGTGGATGTGGCCACAGTGCTGACTGCCTGAGAACCTGCAGGGAAGAAGGGGTGGGCTCAGGCCTCTCTGGATACCAGCTCCAGGGCCCTCGGCCTGAGCGGCTGAGCAGAGTCCGTGCCCCTGATCCAGGGAACTGCTGTTGCGGTTCAGGGGCCCTGGGTGGACATGTGGAGGGGCAGAGGTGGTCTGCTGGGGTGAAGGAGCAGAGGCTGAGAAGGCTAGGGCGAGTGACGGGGCCGCTGGGAATCCCAGACCCACTGAGCTGCAGAGCCAGCCTTATCTGCCCCGGGAGGGAGTGCCAGGTGGGGCACAGAGGCCTGGCACCAAGATGGGAGGAGGAATTTAGGCCAAGCCAGAAGCCAGAGCAGGGTCAGGGGAAGAGCCCTGGGGTGGGATGGGATGGGATGCTGAAGGCATGAGCCCCCAAGGTGGCCCAGCTGCCGTTTCTGCAGGTGCTGCCCGCCCACCCCTGACTCAGTGCTGGGCCAGGTGCTGGGGACTCCAGCTGCGCCAGCCCAGGGCTCTGTTGCTAAGAGGTGTTAAAGGGCTCTCTCTGTTCTGGGCTTTCCTGACACTTGAAACAGTCCAAGAGTTATGAATTTTTAAAGCGCAGCATCTGTTTGGCTTCCCGTGGCAGGGAGCGCGCTCTCCGGCCAACTCTGCAGCCAGGAGCCCCGTGCTGCCTGGCCACCACCTGCCCTCCCAGAGTACCCCAGGCCTTCTCCAGGCCCCAATGCTGCCAGGGCGGGGGTCTCACAGCCTGGACGATGGCCACCGGGGACAGCGCCCCGTGACAACTGTGGACAAGGTGGTGGGCTCAGCCCGCCTGCCCCACTGTGCTGCGCGTGGTGTGGGGCTGCGGGAGGGAAGCCCCTCATGAGGGGAGAACCTCTTGCAAATAAATATTGAAGCTGCCAAAAGGGCCATCTGCTGAGGCACTAATAATAATGGTAATAATAATAATAAAGAGAGCAGAGCAAAGCTGAAAAGACAGGGAGGGACAGGGGAGGGAGACACAGAGCGACAGCAAAACTATGGGAGATCAACAGAAAGACGGCTGCCAGGGCACAGCCCCGGCCTTGTGCTGCATCCCCAGGGGCTGGGTGCCGGGGGGCCTGAGTGGGGTGGGTGGGGGAATCTGAAGGTTCTTCACCTGCCAATCCCACTGCCTTAAGGATGTAAAGGGGCAGGTCTGGAGTCAGGTGGTGAGGGGAAGCACACTGAGGCCACCTGCCCACATCCCTTCTCATCCCCAACCGTTCCACAGGGGCCTGCAACCCCGCCTGCCACCCCCCGCCACCCGGCCCCAAGTGGAGCCTTTTTAAAAAATTTTTAAAAATTTATTTATTTATTTATTCATTTATTGAATTTATTTATTTTTTGCTGTGTTGGGTCTTCGTTGCTGCACACGGGCTTTCTCTAGTTGTGGTGAGCGGGGGCTACTCTGTTGTGGTGCGCGGGCTTCTCATTGCGGTGGCTTCTCTTGTTGCGGAGCACGGGCTCTAGAGTGCAGGCTCAGTAGTTGTGGCGCGTGGGCTTAGTTGCTCCGCGGCATGTGGGATCTTCCAGGACCAGGGCTTGAACCCTTGCCCCCTGCATTGGCGGGCGGATTCTTAACCACTGCGCCACCAGGGAAGCCCACAGTGAGCTGTGGAGGGGGGGACCTGCACTCACCTGTGGCCAGGCCCTGCCTTAGGGCCCTTTCAGGTACCCCAGTCCTGCCTGGGGTACAAGCTGCTTAAGGGCATGTGGCCTGGACCACATCAAGGGGGCGGGGGCTCTGAGACGGGGCAGAGGGCAGGCCTGGGGAGGGTTTGGAAGCAGGAATGCATGGGGGCGGGGAGGCAGCAGGCACCTTGGTACTAGTGGTCACATGGACGTATGGTCCCATGGTCCCCAGGCATTCCTGCCCCCACCCACCTTCTCTCCATGGCAGTCTCCTCCCCAGGGGCCTACCTGGCAATATATTTCTGGTAAATGTTTACATCTTCAGTGACAGCTGGTTTATCTGTGGGCAATCCGTTCCTGGTGAGAGACACACAGGGCACAGCTGATTAGCAGACGAGGTGGCCTCACGCCCCAAGAGCGTCTGGGGGGCAGCTCCCTGCCCTGGGGCCCTGGCCCTTCTCTGCTCACTGTGTAGTGTTCTGGGCGCTTAGGGTGGGACTGGAAAAGTCCTTAGGCAGAAAACTAGCACAGGTTCAATTAGCCCACCTTTGGTAAGGGCTGGGCCGTCTTCAGCTGGCAGGGCTGGAGGGCCCTACCTTGGGCGTGGATCTGACCTAGAGTCCAACAGCATAGGAAGCCTGGGAAGCTGGGGCCTGGCCGCCTTGCACACAGAGAGTCAGGATGCTGCTGGCTGAAGAGGGGTACCAGGTACCACGGGGGAGGGCGCCAGGGGAAAGTGCAGGAACAGCACCAAGCAAGTGTGGCTGGGTGGTCGGAAAGGCCTCCCCGACGCCGAGGGCAGCTCCCTAGATCTACTCCCAGGTTTCTGGACCCGCCTCCAGGAGGGATGGCTGAGGGGAAGGGTCTCACTCAGCCCCCCACATTGATCCATCAGTTATTTTGCCATGGTCTAGGGCTTTGCGCTGGGTGTGCCCACCCCACCCCAGCCTCCTACCTTCTCTCGCTGCCTTCCCCATGGCGCAGGCTCTGAGCCTGGGAGCCCTGGCCACCAGCCTGGAACCCAGAAACCCCAGCCCAGAGTAGGGCTTTCCCAGCCAACCATAAGCCGGAAACTGGCCCTCACGGTGGCAGGCAGAGAAAGCCTGTCATGGGCACATGGGGGTTACAGTAGCCTGTGGCATGTGTGTTAGCAGATGAGCACGTGCACAGAAGTACAGGCAGACCCTGGAGATACTGCAGGTTCACTTCCAGACCACCGCCATAAAGTGAATATTCACTTCCAGACCACCGCCATAAAGCGAGTCACACGAATTTTTTTTGGTTTCCCAGAGCATAGAAAAGTTACGTTTACACTACACTGTAGTCTGTTAAGTGTGTAATAGCATTATGTCTGAAAAAGCAATGCATATGCCTTAAATAAAAAACGCTTTATTGCTAAAAACTGCTGACCGTCATCCGACAGTGCAGGGTTGCCACAAACCTTCAATCTGTAAAAATACGCAATATCTTCGAAGCGCAATAAAACAAGGTGTGCCTGTACCCGCTGTGAGAGCGTGTGTGCGCACAGCAAGATGTATAGTGTGCGGGTGCATGAACTGAGCCTGAGCGATTATGTAGGCAGAGGAGCGTGTGCGTGTGTGTGTGTGCGTGCACGCGTGTGCGGAAGCATGTGTGTGAGAATCTGGGTGCATGGTGGATGTGCATAAGGTGTGGGTGTGTGTGTCCATAAGTGTGAGCTTCGGAGGCAGGAAGTGGGCCTCCGGGCCACTCCAGTCCCGGGTGCAGGGCTGGCAGTGAGGGTGGTGCACGCCTTACTTGACAGTGGAGACGGTCCCCGTGGTGATGGAGTCTGTTTTGGAGAAGGTTGACTTCAGGTACTCGGGAGTGTTGAAAGGCAGGGAGGCAGGTGGCTCAGGGCCTGGCCCAGGGGCACTGGGAACAGTGGGCACGCTGGCGAGGGGTGCAGGAGCCAGGCTGGGGGTGGGCGGAACCTTGGCGGGGCCCGGCTTCTGGATGGCCCGGACGTCGTACTTGGAGGGGCGCCCCACCTTGCCCGTCTTGAAGGCGATGGCCCCTCCCATGTCGGGGCTGCCCTCCCCGGGTTTGAAGAGGTGCAGGTACTTGACGTTCTCCAGGTCGTACTTAGACGGCTTCTTGTAGGCGCTCCCGTTCTGGGGCCGCAGGTTCTCACCCGTCTTCAGTTTCTGGATGAAGAAGTCGTACTTGGAGGCACGGGCCACCAGGCCCTGCATGGGGACACTGCTGTGTGAGGGCAGGGGCAGGATGGTGGCCTTGGTCTCCAGGTGCGCGGTGCTACTGGGCAGCCGCAGGCCAGGCAGGGAGCCCAGGGCCTCCTTGCTGGCCCGCCCCTCGGCTGTGGTACCGTGGGCCGGCCAGGACAGCTGCTCGCCGGCCTTGAGCTTGCGGATGTACTCCTCATACTTGGAGAACCGCGCCCGCTTGCTGAGGGCGTCCTCGGAGGCGGGCAGCGCGGAGGAGGTGGCCGCCTCTGGCGTGGAGCCCGCATGCAGCTTCTCGAAGCTGATCTTCCCGGCCAGCTCGTCCCTCGTGTTCTGGTCATCATAGCCAAACATGCCAAGGAACTCGGTCATGGTGGAGGCCGCGTAGTCCCGCAGCGAGGAGGCCTCTCCTATGGCAGGGAGGAGAGGGGCCGTCACCTCTGGGAGGGAGCAGGGTAGCCCAGGGACAGGCCCCGCCCCCCCCCCCACCGCCGCCCTGCCCACAGAGGGAGGGGGCCGGCCTGGGGAAGGGTGGAGCGGGACATGATCTATGGACATTTGGCTCACTTGTTAGGTTTTACGACTCTTAAATTAATTTGTTTAAAAAAAAAGTAATTAATACTGGGGTAAAATAAAACGAGTTCATCAATGCCAGGAAAATCAATTTCCTAAATGTTCTGGCCGATGGCTTTTCAGTACATTAAACAAAGTTTCATAAATGTCTCCGCTCTCTTGCCTTGGCCTAATATGAAGGAGAAGTCATTTTACTGGAAGTAAGGCCAGATCCCAACCTGCCTCCCAGGGTGGGGGTGGGAACGGGGGCTGGGGACAGGTAGGGCTGTGAGCCAGGGGCTGGGCAGTCAGGAGGGACCCCAGGGGCTGAGGGAGCCACTGGGGATGGGGTCAGGGGTAGGCCTGGCTGAGCCTGCCTGGAGGACCCTCCCTGGCCCCCACAAATGGACACACAGGCCCCTTATCCCTGGGAGGATGAGAGGCTCGCCCCAAGCCTCCTCAGGACCTGTCCTGTTGGCCCTTCCCGGCCCCCCCGGCTGCTGATGGCCCCAGACGACAGGGCCGACGGGCAGAGAGCCTGCGGATGTGTTCACTCAGACTCCCTCAGGGTCCGCCCACCCCAGCCAAGACTTATGACGTAGAGAGTCCTTCAAACCTCCCTGCCACCTTCTGGTCACTTGTGCTCACGCACGAGGGTGGGCCACCGAGGAGAGTCAAGGCCGTAGAGGCAGTGGCTGAGTCTGGCCCATCTATCGCCCCACTGTGTCCACAGTGGGGCACACGGAGAATCCCCCGAAGCAACCTCCCCACAGGGACATGCACGCACGCGTGCACACTCAAGCTCGCAGCCCTAGCGACCTTCCCCGCCCACACACACACACGTGCACACAAACCACTCCACACTCCACAGTCAGCTCCCCAAGAGGAGTCTCAGGATGGCAGGGGCAAGACGACCCTGTTCTGCCTGGCGCTGTTCACTGGAGACGAACTCCTTCCACACACAACCTTCCTCCACGATAGGCCTGCGACTCCCCAGCACACGCATTCCTGCACAGAACACTCGCTGAACACCGACTATGTGCTACCCCCTGAATCAGGAGTGGGTGCACACAGGTGGGTGGGACTCACCTGGGCCCCAGGGCACATGCGTGTTCTCTCCACTCATGTCTGAGCCTGCACACCCAGGCACACAGAGCGGCAGGACCCCAGGCTGGGGGTCCTAAAAGCACGGCCAGGGGAAGGCGTGGCCGAAGCAGGGGTGGGAGGACCAGGACCAGCAGGGCAGCCGAGGAGGGCTTTCCTCCCAACCACACCTGGAAGTGGTCTGAGAGCGGGGCTGGGCTCTGGCACAAGAGAGAAGCTAGCAGCATGTAGAAAGAGCCTCTGAGCTCCTGGGAGGACAGGCAGGAGGGTAGTCCTGCGGGGACCGGGACGCGCCAGGTGCGGAGACAGGACAGTCACGGGCAGCACCTGGCACACGAGGTGGGCAGAGCGACTCAAGGAACCGACGGACAGCTGTTCCTCTGGGCGGGGTGGCCGGTGGGCTGCTGTCCTGACCTCAAGCTACTTGGGGCTGGGGACCCAGTCTGGGAGGAGTGGGCCCTGGCTGCTAGATTCAGTGGCTCAGGGACCAGGGAAAGGGGCTAAAAATAGCTGGAGGCAGCTGAGCCCTCACTATATATGGCAGAGAAACAGAAGGCTCTGAAGGGCAGGCGGCTTAGAGCAGGGAGGGGGCCAGGCAGGGGTCCCAGGGGCAGCCCAGAGGCCTGCATTCCCAAGCCCATGGTGGGCAGCCTGGGCTCCGGCTGCCTGGCTCCAGCGCCCGGGCTGAGCAGGCCGCCCTGGGTGTCACCCTGCAGTCCCACTGGGCCTCAAACCCGAGGGGCGAGGCCTGCAGCCACGAGGCCACTGGCAGTTCTAGCCCTGCCTCCTGCCATCCTAGCTCTCTGCTCCCCCGGGAGGTGCTGGGGCGCTGAAGGGACAGTGGCCCTTGTCCCTGTCCCTCCCCTCTCCTCAGGCCCAGCGCAATCACCTTGCGTCTGGGAACGGCAAGGGCTTTTCCTATCAGAGGAAACTGAAGGTCACACTTTTCCTCATTGATCTTGCAATGTTTGTTAATTACTCTGTCACTGATGTGGCGAAGGATAATTAAACAGCTCTGTTTATATCTTATATGCATAATTATGTGGCTGCGCAGGGCTCCCCGCGTGGGGAGGAGATGCGCCCCTCGCTTCAGGGGAAGGGGATCGGGAAGCGGGCAGGGAAGGCTCGGGACACAGGCACAGCCTGGGAACGAGGCTGGGGAGCTGAAAAAAGACCCCAGGCCCAGAGTTCCCGTCCTAGCAGAGACACCCTCCCTCCCCAGAGCAGAAGGAGCTCCTCATCTAAGGCCAAGCAGACACCAGAAAGGCCAGCTCTTAGCCATCTCGTGGGAGAGACGTCAGCCAAGGGACCGCGTCTGGGGCAGGTGGGTGTAACGGGATGTGCCGGCTGGGTGTCGCTCCCCACATGCACGTCCAGGTACTGCGCCCCCCAAGAGGCTCCTCCCTACGCAGGTGCGTGTGGACAGTCGTCTACCCACACGCCGTCCGTCCATCCGTCCCTCCATCCATCCGTCTGCCTGTCCACCAGTCCATCCGTCCATCCACTGCTTCCTGAAGACCCACTGTGTGTTCGGCAGCCCACCCCAGCCCGGCTCACACGTCTGGGAAGCTGCCTTCTCAGGCCCTTCCCTCCTCACCCCTGCTGCCCCTGAGGGAAGAGGGCACGCTCTGTGGACACACACACCACTCCTTCCCCGCCGGGCCGCCCTCCTCGTGGGCTTATGTCCCGTCCGGGGCTTAGACACCCACCTGAAGCCTGCTTGGCACTGGGACCACTGTCATCCTTGGAGGCTGCCCCGTTCGAGTCCTTCTCCTCCACGACGCCGCCATCCTTGGGGGGCTCGTCGCCGTGGTCTTCCTCGTCGCTGCAGCCCTGGGGCTGCACCATGTAGACGCCCTCGGGTGGCAGCTCCAGACCCTCCCGGGCAGTCCGCCCCAGCACGGGCGTGGGTGCCGGCTCCTCGCTGTATTCCCCGTTCACCCACTTCTCGATCACCGCCCGCCTCTTGTCCTCTTCGCTGCGGGGGGCCCGGGCCACCCCCGCCTCAGGGCCACTGCGCACTTTGTCCCGGGGCCGCAGTGGGCTGTCCTCGGCCTCCGCTCCCTTCTCCACCACCACCTGGCGGCTCAGCTTGGCGCAGATGGCGTTGAGCTTCAGGCCGCCTTTGCGTTTGGCCGCCATCGCGGGCTTGCCTGCAGGCGGGTCGGGGCACCGGGTGCCTTCAGCTGCAGGGATGGAGAAGGGTCAGAGGCGTGTGTGCCAGGCCCGGCCACCCACCTCGACAGCCGGGGGCGGACGCCCTGCCCCCGCATCCCCCAAGCCAGAGGTCTCTCTCTCCCCAGTGACGGTTCCACCGCCGCGTCCCAAGGCCAGGGTGTGTTTGTCCCCTCACTAGACCGTGAGCTCTATCCTCAGAGCCTGGCGCATACTAGGGGGTTCAGGAATATTCTGTAAACGAGCAAACGAATGAATGAACGAATGACTCTTTAAATGCAAGGGGCAGTCTTCTTCCCAGCACCTGGCTTCTGGAAGCATTTCCTCCCCTTGTTTGGCCCCAGGAGGCAGGACAGACATGCCACGGGACCTGGCTCCGCCTTCTCTGCCTCGGCCAGCTCCTGCTGCCCTGGAAGGCCTGGCTGGTCCCACGAGGCCCACTTTCCAGCCCTGAGAAGCTGGGACAGGTTGGGATTCCTCAGAAGCCCAGCAGGAAGCCCAGAGGCTGCAGTTACGGGGCCTAATCCCTCAACACGACAGCCCGACGCAACTGGCCGGGAACTGTTAACTAGGCTGCCCCAGCGCTAGCCACGTCCCTCACGGCTGCTGAGCGGGGGCGCCCAGGGTCCTGGGGGGTAAATGGCAAGACCGCTAACCATACAGCCTGGGGCCCGCCACAAAGGCCAACAGAAGTGGACACACCTCCATCTGTTTATTTGTATGTCCTGTCTGTCCACCCATCCACGCAGTGAGCTCCTACTGTGCGCCAGACCCCGAGGTGGTACCAGGGGCGGGCGGTGGCCATGGCAGACAGTCATGGCTTACACCCCCTCTGTGCACAGGGAGCCCCACTGAATGCTCCCAAGGCAGGGCTCCTCCGTGCGGCCCTCAAGTCTCCACACAGGTCAGAAGGCTGAGCAAGGGGACTCTGCTCCCAGATCCATGGTCAGAAGGGGCTTCACTATAACGGATCGAGACCCTAAAAACCCACACGCCTGGAACGCACTGAGAGGCTTACTCAGACGGGGACGGCCACGCCTGTGCCAGGACCTCATCTACAAGCAGACTTGGCTTGTACACACAGATGGCTGCCCCCCGATACGGACGATGCCCAGCTGCCCCAGACCCTTGACTCGAAGCCAGCTGCCCAGGGATCCCAGCCCAGCCCAGCCCAGCTCCCCCAGTCCTGCAGCCCTGGCTCTGCCGGGCCCCACCCTCACCCCTAGCTGGATGCCCACGCTACCCACGTGTGTCCGCATCTCCAAGTCTGTGCTGCCCACACCCAAAACTCCAAGCATCATCATGGGTTCCCTCTCAAAGCTCAGCGATGGGGCCCCTCATCGTGCCATCCCACCCGGCCTCAGGGCCAGCTGCCAGGCTCCGTGACACCGAGTTTCCTCCAGCAGGCCTATGGGGAGCTGGCCTCACCTGGCTCCCTTTGTCCCCGGCCCTGGTGGAGAAGGGAAGGGCGGGAGTGGGGAGCCTGCTCTATTTTTACCGGGAGGTAAGTAGCCAAGTGTGTATGGCAGACGGCAAATGAATCTATAAATATTTATCCCAAGGAAGAGGGAAGCAGAAGCTCCCAGGGCTGCACTTGCTGCTGGTGACACCCCCTCCCTGGGCCCCCACCCATCCTGGAGCCTCCTGGCACTTGGGCCCACCCAGCCCCGCCCACCCGCTCCTGATCTCGGCTGTGTGCCTGCCTCAGTCCCTCACGGGCCCCCGCCAGCTGCGATGCAGCTGTGCACCCAGGGCCCACCCCCCGCCCGCAGGCCCCTTTGCTCCACCCATGCCCCCTACACCTGCCCTCCAGCTGCTGCTCTGCCCCAGCCCACCTGCCTTCCAGATGTTGCCCTCCCTCTGACTCTACTGCTGGTCCCAGGGGTGGCGGTGGAGAAGGGGTGTGGGCCTGGGGTGCAGGGCAGGAGGCAGAAGCAGGCCTTACTCCAAAGTGCAGATGCGTGTGAGTCTGGGGCTGCGAGCTGGGGTGTGTGTGTAAGAGCTGAGGTCCAAGGTGCCTGCCCGCCCGTCTTCCGGCCCACCCTGTGGGGCCTTCTCCCCTCCCCCTCCATCAGGGCCCTGGGACCTGCAGACTACCCCCCTCGTGGTCTGACCCCAGGCTCCCGTCCATGTAAACATTCCCTTGACTTTCTTCCCTAAAATATAAACGCCGTGGCCAGGCCTCAATGGGAGGAAGCCATCCGTCCCCGGCCCTGTCACTGCCCCTTTCATCTCCTTCCCGCCACCAGCCTGCCCGCTGCTCTATTTACACTGGACACTTCCTCTGGGAACAATACTGCCCAGGAGGCAGGCTTGGGCCGGAGGGTGGGAAGGTGCGGGGGCTGCCGCACTGCTCACCCAGGGCCGGGCTCCAGAGAGGAGGCGAGGGGCGGGGCGGCTGCAGGGATCCCAGCCAGGCCTGGGGAGAGGAGTGGGTCAGTATCGGCACGCAGGCAGCCAGCCCAGGGCTCCCCCAGCCTCCTGCCTTGGGCCCCAGTGATGCCGGCTGGGCCAGGGCGAGCCCTGGGAGGTGGCACAGCACCATGGTATGGCCTGGCTTTTGGGGTCAGACAGTCATGAGTTCACGGCCTGGCTCCGGCCCCTCACTAGCTCTGGACCCTGGTCGAGCTTTCTCCCCGTGAAAAGGGCTGCAGGACTGTAAGATGAGAGAGGGTGCTTGTCTGTGCCAAGTACAGGGCCTGACAGTCAAGGACCTGGGGAAAGGCAGCTGAGCCCTGGGAGGGGACAAACAGGCAAGTGCGGTGCCACATCTGGGCACGAGACCCCTAGACCAGGAAACCACACCTGGCCCAGAAGAGGCAGAGGGGACAGGAGAGGCTGGAGGGCTGGGCCGCGGGCAGGCTGCCTACTCAGCAACAAATGGCCCCTCGCCGGCTCCCACAGTCTAAGCCTCACCTCCCAGGGCTCCAAACGCAACAAGCCCCCAGCAGGCAGGCAGCTCTGTCTCCAAGCTGAGTGGGTCCTGCTCAGGGTGGAGAAAGGGAGGGGCGAGAACTGGACTGTCCCTGCACCTGTTGGACACTAGCTCACGACCTCTCACTATGATCCCGTGAGGCAGGTACTGTCGTCGTCCCATTTGACAGAGGAGGAGACTGATCCTGGAGCCGTGAAGACACTCCAAAGCCAGAGCTCATGAAGGTCAGGGCACAGCAAGGTGCGGGGCCGCCACCATGTCCCCACAAAGGCTCCAGGAAGTCCCAGGCCTCTCTGCCCACCTCCTCCTCACCCTCACTCCCGGTTCCCATAACACGTAGCCCCCTAAAGTGTTAACTGTGATGGGTAAAATGGTGCAGCAGATTGCTACAATAAATAATTTACTGATATTTATAAATATGTAAATCAGCCAGCTTCAGAAATCGAATGAAGGGAGGGCCTCGGGAGAAGGGCCCGCTATGGCAGGAATCTCATCACTCCCTCCAAAGGCTGGGGAAGGCCGGGGCTCCTGCCAGTTCCGAGGTGGGGGGGGGCTCCTGTAGTGCACCTGGGCCCCTCATCCCTGATCCCTGGGGACTACGGGGGTGGCTGGAACGGCCACTTCCTCGCCTGGTCAGGGCCAGGTCCTCCCCTGCCCTGGGCAGCCCAGGCTCAAGGGGACCAGAGGCTCCAGTGCCCACTGCCCACGGCTGGGTACCTCAGAGTCACTTGTCCTGCCTTGAGGGTGGGGGTTAGTCCCCAGGGGCTGGGCAGGCCTGGCAGCCCCTCCCCACCAGTGAGTAATGTGTTTTGGGGCCGGGCGGACTGTCAGCTACCAGGCTCTGGGTGCTTTATGGGCTCTGCCTGGTGGCTCTGAACTCCCTGGTAGGAAATAAAGTTCTCCCTGCGTGTCCCTTCTAAACATTTCACTCAGTGGAAACGGTGTTTAAGAAAAATGAGGACATATTTCTTCCTAAGGATGCAGTGTCCCCTTTGGGCAGCCTAATGCCCGCTGTATATCAAGAAGTGGTGAGGCAGGGGCCAGGCACCCGTCCCCTCGGGTTGGGGTGGTCTGGGCCCTCCTGCCTGCTGCCAGGCGGCTCGGGGGCCGTGGGCACCGCTGGGTCACTCTGGTGGCCGCCCTGGCCCACACTGCCTAGAGCAACATGGCAGCTGGCACCCTCTGAGCCAGCTGTTTAAAGTTGCCCAGTGCTGGGCAACTCAGAGCATCGCCTCAGTGGTCCCCCAGCATCCCCGTACGGCCGCTGTCCTATCCCTGTTTCCGGGTGAGAAAGCAGAGCTCACAGAGGTTGTCAACGGTCACGGTCACTCAGAGGGTGTGCCAGAGCCGGACTCCCACTGGGCTCAGATGTCTCACCATCTGAGACCCCACACATGCCTCCCACAGCCTCCCAGCGAGGGTGGCAGCAATGTTGGAGCTTCCCTGCAGCCCCTAAGAACTTGAACCTGACAGGCCACAAGCCCCAGTGCTGGGGTGCTGCGCCTATGTTCAGGCTCTGGGCTGAATTCTGAGGATATGAAATGAGCAGGCGGACTGTCCCGGTTCCTGCCATGACGGACTGTTCAGTTTAGACGAGGGGGCAGACGTTCAGGTCATTACAAGCGTGATCACTGCGGTGAAAAGTCTCGGTGCCACAGGGGCAGCGAGTCTGGGAAGCAAGGAAGGGTTCCTAGAGACATCTGCTCCGGCCCTGCTCCCCACGAGCTCCCTCAGGGCCCCCCTCCCCCTCCCCCTCCACACAGCCCATCTCCATCTTAACAGCTCCCACCCCATCTCCCCAGCCAGGACCTGTCCCCGAGGAGAAGGGTGTCCTTCCCTCTTGGGCCCGATCCCATGCCTGGTTTTTGCAGGTGGGAGGAGTGGCCACTGCCCCTCAGGGCTCTCAGCTGGGTCCCCTGGTCCCCAACAGCTCCAAGTCGGGAAGCGGGGGGCCCAGCCGCTGGGGGCCCTCCTCGCCCCACTTTGTTTATTTATTTATTATAATTTTTTAGTCCAGTTAAAAGGTTTACTATCCAGACGCGTCTAAGTGGCCTCACTTAGCGTAAGTAACTCTAT